CCCCCCCGAGGGGCGGGGCCTGAGGGGTAGAGTCTGAAAGGCCAAGAGGAGGCAGGGCCCCCTCACCCCACACGCAGCTCTACTTCAGGGGCTCCTGCTGCTTGCCCACCCCCTACACTCCAGCTCCCCTCATGGTAGCTCGCTCTGTCCCCCAGGATCTTTCTACTTTTTCTGTGGTTTAGAGACATTACAGAGTATAAGGGGGAGGAAGACCAGCTACTTAACTATTCTCATGATCTGGTCAAGAGGCAATATACTCAACACATTAGAAATAAAAAGAAACTACTTCGACATAATAAAAACCACATATGAAAAGACCATAGCCAGCATCTTACTCAACAGTGAAAAGTTGAAACTTTTCCCTCTAAGATCAGGAACAAGACAAGGATGTCCACTCTTGCCACTTTAATTCAACATAGTATTAGAAGTCCTGGCCAGAGCAATTAGGCAACAAAAAGAAATAAAGGAAATCCAGATTGGAAACGTAGAAGTAAAATTATCTCTGTCCACAGGTGACATAATCTTATATATAGAAAGCCGTAGATTCAAAACACACACACACACAAAACAACCTGTTAGAACTAATAAACAAATATGGCAAAGTTGTAGGATACAAAATCAACACACACACACAAAAATCAGTTGCGTTTCTGTACACTAACAATGAACAGTCTGAAAAGGAAATTAAGAAAACTTCATTTACAATAACATCAAAAATAATAAAATAAACTTAATGTCAATGGACAGCATAAAAACAAAACAAAGCACGGGGACTAATGCCTGAACTAAGGCAGGGACCACCAGGTTACCGGAGAAAAATCATGACTTTGGGTCAGTGCGTCCAGCCAAGGGGCTCCCAAGAGTGGACGCTGGAAAGGCAGCTGGGTAAGTGGTTCCAGGGCTCACAAAAGGTGTCTGGGAGGAAGAAGGAAATCCAAGAGCCATCAGAAAGTGATTGGATGAAACTGCCCAGAAAGAGAGAAGGAAAAGCTTTTAGGAAATAAACCCAAGAAACAACAACATTTAAGAGGCAGGCAAAGGGAAAGGATTGAATAGGAGGAGCCAGAGAGGTAGGAGGAAAGACCAAGAGCCAACCAGGCCACAGAAGCCCTGGAAGGAGAACATTTAAGAAGTGTCTCTCCTGACACTTTGGGCTATTAGCTATGGGCCCAGGAGCACGAGCCCCAGGTTCCTCATGTGTAGAATGGAGGCAGTGATGGGACTTCACAGGCTTGCTGTGAGAATGTTACGAATGAATTATGAAGAGCATAAGCACAACACTGACACGGAGCGAGTGCTCGATACAAGTTTTCCAACAAGAGGGGCCAGCGGTCAACAGTGTCACATGCTGAGGAGAGTCAGGGGTAGGATGCTGATCCCAAGTGCCCTCTAGCTTTAATAATATGAAGGTTCCTAGTGATTTTGGGGGCATTAAAGGGAAGTTGATGCCTGGTGGTGACAGGCCCAGAAAGTGGAGGCAGGGCATATGTAGCTCACTGTTTGAAAAGTGTGTTAATATGCCTTCCAATTTTAAATGGTATCCATCTAGCAGCCCCACCTCCAGTTTCTCTCAAATTTCAGTTAAAACAGGGATACAGAAAGAGTTGAAAACCCAGAACAGCACCATAAATGAGTCTCGGCAGCTGACTGCCAGAATGGGGGAGGGAAGGGAAGTGGAGTGGCGTATTTCTATCTGTGATAAAGCCAGTGGAACTAGATTGAAAAGTGCAATTGTAGTGAACCCCAGGCTAAGCTGCCCACAGAGTGACATTGCCTCCCAGCCTAAAAATAATTTGAAAGGTCCTGTATCCTTCCTCCCGTTGTCTGACCCCTTAAAAAATAGCAAGGTCTTTGTCAACTGGACAATGCATGGCCATCACTCGACTGCACAGCTACTTTTGAGGAAAGGTGCTGTTCCTAATCCCCATGGAGTGCCTCTCAGCCTAAATCCACCTGGAGATGGCAGCTCCCAGAAAAGCTGTGGCACAAAGGGGAGTGGAGTGATGGAGCAGCCTAGGAGGTGGCACAATCTCTTGCAGATACAGGCAGACGGCACAGATAGAAAGGAGCTAGGCATGTCATTTTTTTAAAACTATATTTGTTGAAAGCATCAGATGGCCAGGATATAGAGGTAAGAGACTGTTCCATTTCAGCCCCATAGAGATACATTAGATGGCAGCTTGATAAATCCCTAGAATGGAGCTAAAAACTGAGCCCAAGCACCTGCTCTCCCGCTGCAGATGTCTGCAGATGTGTGATGAGATTCATCCAGCATCAAGGGGGGGGCCAGGAGTACAGCAGACACTGTGGGAAACCTGTTCAACAGCCACGGCCCCCTCCCCTGATGGCTGAGCACAATTTTTGATTTAGGATCTATTGTCTCCTCCCAGATGACTCAGGTTAATTCTGATTGTTCTAAGACATCTGTGTGCACGAATTCCCATTTCCAATGATTGCTTTAGGGCTGGGCTTGCAATCCAGTTCTGGCCAACAAAAGGAGAAATCAGCTAAGAGGAGGAGGGATTCTGGAAAAGGTTTCTTGCTCTTAAAAAGATAACTACAAGGAAGGAGCAGTTCATTTTCTGCTCTGGATGGTAAGGATGCAATGTCTGGAGCCAATTTACCACCATGAAGGAGCCGGCCTTTGTGATAAGGATGGCAGAGTGGAAAGATGGAAAGCCCTGTGGTCCTTGAGGACACTGCTGAGCTGCGGAGTTAACCAGGCTCTAACTCTACTCTTTTAGGTAAACTAAGAAATCATTCCCATCAGCGTCAGTTGGATTGAGGTTGTTAGTTGCAACTGAAAGCCTCACAACCGGAGAACAATTGACACATCTTGGTTTTTGTTTTTGTTCCAAACACAAGCTATTTAATTGTTCAGGAAGTAGTAAACAGAAAACACCAAGAAACTGGGCATATGAAAAATATTTCTGAATAAGCAAACAGAAATATTATTCTGAAGATTCAGGAGGGGCAGATCTTTAAGAATCATTTAGTATGATAGTTAAAGGAGGGAGTAAGGAGACTGGCATCTTCAAGAAGGTCAAAGAAAACAGATGCCACACAACCGGAGCAGCCATGAGGAGAAAGCAGGTGGAGAAGAAAAAGAAACCAGATGAGGTGAGAGGAAAGTGGTGATGATGGGAAAGGTTTGCTAAAAGTGCACTAGCAGAAAAAGTAAAAGTAAATAAAAGCGCATTAGCAAAATTAAAATATTTAAAAGAAAATTTATTACAAATATAAGGGATTTTAAGCAGAATGGGAAACTTAAAAGTACACAATGAAAATAGACTTGGACAAAAAGTTATATATAGAGAGAGACAGACAGACAGAGAAAGAAAGAGAGAGAGAACACTACATAATAAAAATACTGCACATTGTTTTTCACCAAAAAACTACTAGAACTGTTCAATTAATCCAGCAAAGTATCAGGATACAAAATAAATATTCAGAAATCAGCTGTATTTTTATACACCAATAATGAACTATCGAAAAGAGAAAAAAAGAAAACAATCCTATGTACAATTGCATCAAAAAATAAAATAACTAGAAATAAATTTAACCAAGGAGGTAAAAGTCCTGTACTTGGAAAATTATAAGACACTGAAGAAA